CAGTCCTTTTTGTTTTATTTTTTCTTCTCTTTGGCAGTACTGAGGTTTGAACTCAGGGCCTCTCACTTGCCAGGCAGGCTCTCTACCACTGAGCTACTCCACCAAGCCTTTATTTGGGTGTTTTTTAAGATAGGGTCTCCCTAACTATTTGCCCAGGCTGGCTTCAAACCTTGATTCTCCTGATCTCTGCCTCTTGAGTGGCTAGGATTACAGGCATGAGCCACTGGTGCCTGGCTACTTCTAGTTTTTTGTATTCTTTTGTTTTGTCTGTGGTACTGGGGTATGAACTCAGAGTCTCAAGCTTACTAGGCTTAAGCCAAGTTCCCAGCCCATTTGTTTTTCAGATGGGGTCTCCTGCTAACTTTGCCGAGGCTGGCCATAAGCTGAGATCTTCCTCTTTCTATTTCCAAGTAGTTAGTTGCCTTTAAAAAAAATTTTTTTTTTTGGTGGCACTGGGGTTTGAACTCAAGAGTCTCATGCTTGCTAGGCAGGTGCTCTTACTTCCTGAGCCATTCCACCAGCCAGTTTCCAAGTAGGATTACAGGCACCACTATGCCTGACCCCAGATAAAACAAAAAACAAACCTGTCTGAGTATCTCATCTTCAATCTCCCCACCTATCCTGTATTTATTTTCTTATTATAAATAATGTATAGGATGAACTTCTCCACTTATAGACTAATTCTTATCTCCTCTTTTCCTTAAGGACATTGTCTCAGGATTGTCCTTTCTCTTCTATACAGTCAAATTTACCCCCTTTACTTACTACTTTTGGTACAAAAACAGGCTGCTAATTCCTTCTAGCTTTAAAAAGTAATCAAAATAAGCTGATCTTGGTGGTGCGTGTCTGTAATCCCAAGTGAGTTCTAGACCAGCCTGGGCAACATAGTGAGACCAGTTCCAAAACAAAAATAAACAACAACAAAACAATAATAAAAATAAAACTTTAATGATCTCTTCATAACTAATTTTTTAGCTCTGTTTTCAGCAAAACTCTTTGAAGGCCTTGTCTATTCATTGAGAAGTTTGTCTATGCATTTTCTCCTGTCTTTGTATGGTCTCTGTGACCAAATTACATTTTTATCCCTAATTCCACAGTAGTTCTTATCAAGGTTTTCAATGAACTCCCTTGCAAATATAGCTGATTGTTGTTATCTGTGGTAGTAATAAAGTTACACATAAAATGAATTAGCAAACACTGGACTACTGCATCTAGGGAAATACAGGGTTAAGCTCCTGCAAATCTCTGGGCACATTTTCATCAATTGTTCAATATATAACCTTGTTTTATGTGTTTCTGTTTAAAGAAACCTTAGTTATCAGGTGCTGGTGGCTCATGCCTATAATCCTAGCCACTCAGGAGGCAGAGATAAGAAGGATCACAGTTTGAAGCCAGCCCAAGGCAAATAGCTCGTGAGACCCAATCTTGAAAAATACCCATCCAAAAAAGGGCTAGTGGAGTGGTTTAGTGGTAGAGTGCTTGCCTAGCAAGCATGAGGTCCTGAGTTCAAACCCCAGTATTGTGAAAAAAAAAAAAAAAAAAAAAGATACCTTAGTTAATATAATTCATTACCATTGAATTTGCAGTCAACAGTACTGCAACTCATGCCTGAATGAAACTTATCTAACACATGTATTTTCTCCATAAGGCACATCACAGCATTCTTTCACTTAGAATACTAGACAGCACTAAAGCACTATGCTTCACTTTTAAACAGCACAATCACCAGCAGCACAAAATCCAAAAAATATGGTACTAGATAGACAGCAAAAAGGACAACTGCTTACAGCATTAGAGTTGAAATGAGTGCCCCAGATTAACTAACCTCATCTCTGACTAGACACACCTCCCAGTAACCTCATCCAGTCCCAGGACTTTGATTATATCTACCTTAAAGAGACATCCCACAGTCCCTGCGTGCTTTGTTTTCTCTCCCTACTCTTTTTCCTTTTTGTTTTCCATCTGAGTAATTTTGAGTAGCTTAACTTTAAGTTTGCAGATTATTTCCTCAACTGTGACAAGTCTAATAAGCCTAAACATGGTGGGGGTGGGAGTGAGGTGGCACAAACAATGTATACACATGTAAGTAAACATAAAAACAATAAAATAAGAGAGGGGGAAAAAAAAAGCCTAAACACCACTTTATCTCTGTCATTCTTTTCTTCTGATGGTACTGGGGTTTGAACTCAGGCTTGCTAGGCAGGCACTCTACCACTCAAGCCATTCCACCAGCCTAAGTGAGCCACCATTTTTATTTCAGGATTTCCACATGACTTTTTCAATTTCCACCTCTCCGCTGAAATTCCCCAGCTGTTCATGCATGTTGTCTATCTTTTCCACTAAAGTTAACATCATTCATTATTATTTAAAATTCACTAAGTTCCAACCACTGGGTCATCCCAAGTCTGGTTCTGTTGATCATTTTCATCTGACTTGCACTTTTATGGATTAATTATAATTTTTAAATTATAACTTGAAATGTAATTTAAAATTAACGAAAATAAATAAAAAATTAAAATTAAATATAATTAAAATTAAAATACAGTCAAACTATAAATATAATTATAAATTAAATTATAATTTTAAATAATTTTTACCTAAATGGACATCATGTGTAAGAAGGTAGACTGAAGTAAATAGCATTTATGTCTAGAAATAGACCGTTTCTTCCTTAGGAGGCCATTAGTGTGTGTAGAGGAGGGTTGAGCAATCTATTCAGGAACTGAACTGAGTTGGGTTTTTGTTGTTTCGATTACCTTAACTGTACTAACCAGCTTCAAATTCCCCTAGTGTCATCTGCAGGGTGTAGTGGTGGTTTTTTTCATTGTTCTTGCTCCATCCTCAATCTTAGGCCTTCTCTGTGCATTTGCCCCAAAGAGGCTCTCTTCATACTCTAGTCCCTTCTTTAGGAGCAGAAAGCTGTTGCTTGACTTGATAGCACCAACAAGGAGATTCTCTGTGGTCTCTGTCTCAGGTAGAATCTATGTTCTAGGGTGTCAGGGGATGGAACTCTCTCCCAGTGACAAGAAAAAAAAACCAAAACAACTAAAGATCTGAGCCTAGGGCAGTTTACTGCCCTTCCTTCAGGGTTGGTCCCCTTTGTTTTCCCCACTTCTTCCAGACACAATGGAAATATAATTCTAGCTACTCAGGAGGCAGAGATCAGGAGGATCCTGGTTTAGTTCAAAGTCAGCCCTGGGCAATTAGTTCTGTTTTTGAAAGTGGTAGAGCACCTGCCTAGCAAGTTTGAGTTCAAACCCCAGTACTGCCCAAAAAAACAAAATTAAAAAAAAGAAAATAGAGTTTACACCCTTTCACCAACAGCTTAAAGCTCTTTCTCTTTTTAAGAGAAAATGATCCAAGCAGGCCCGAACCACTCAACAAGGTTGTCTCTGGTCTATCTGAGCACCTGATGGAGATCCCTGGAGAAAAGCCTGTAAGACAGTATAAATTCTTCTTGTGTCCTCAGCTTCCGTGGGTTTTAAATTCTCATGCTGTTTGAGGTTCAACAATTCATTAAAAATTCACCTCAGCCAGGCACAGTGCCAACAGTGCCAGATGGTTCATGCCTATCATCCTAGATACTAGGGAGGCTGAGACTGGGAGGTTTGTGGTTCGATGCCAGCCTGGGCAAATAGTTGAGAGACTCCTGCCTCCAAACAACTGAGCAAAATGGACTGGAGGCATGGCTTAAGTGATAGAGCACCTGCTTTTTAAGGGTGAAGTCCTGAGTTCAAACCCCAGTTCCACTTAAAAAAAAAAAAAGACAGCTGAATTATTCTTTCCCTCTGGTATAACAGCCCTGCCTACTTTCTGTGCTCTGCCAGGTGAGCCACACCCATATCCCACCTCTATGGGGTTAAGTTATAGGGCTGGTGAAGTGGCATGGGTTAAGTTATAAGGCTGGCGAAGTGGCTCAAGCAGTAACAATGCCTGTCTAGCAAGCATGAATTCCAGTGCTGCCAAAAAAAGTTATAACTTGTAGATTATACAACTTATTCTTGTTTTAGGGTAGGAGCAATACTGTTTCTACATTCTAGGTAGAAACCAGGTATTGCTGCATGATTTTAAATACCACATACACATTACTTCTAAATTTACATTTCTAGTAAATTTCTAGATTATCTCCCAGTACAGCAAAAACATTTCAATATATCTTATGTTAAATCTATTGAAATGAGGATTGTTCAAGCACTCAGGGGGGCCAAAGCAGGAAGATTGAGAATACAAGCTAGTCTGGGCTATATAAGAAGACTCTGACTCAAAAATAAATAAATAGGCTGGGCGCTGGTGGCTCACACCTATAATCCTAGCTACTCAGAAGGCAGAGATCAGGAGGATCTCCTTTGAAGCCAGCCCAGGCAAATAGTACTAGAGACCCTATCTTGAAAAACCCATCACAAAAATAGGGCTGGTGGAGTGGCTCAAGGTGAAGGGCCTGAGTTCAAACCCCAGCACAGCAAAATACATACATACATACATACATACATACCAGGCTGGTGGAGTGCCTCAAGTGGTAGAGTGCCTGCTTAGCAAGTGTGAGGCCCTAAGTTCAAATGCCAGTGCCACCAAAAAAAAAAAAAAAACCAAAAATAAACAAATAATGATCCATTTTCTGAAACCATTAGTCTTTGTTTCAAGTTAGCTTAAAGGATGGAGGAACATGCCTATAACCCAGCACCTGGGAGGCAGAGGCAAGAGGATCAAGAGTTCCCGGCCAGTCTGGGCTATATAGTGAGACCCTGTCTCAGAGAAAAGGAAGGAAAGGAAGAAAGAAAGAAAGGAAAGAAGGAAGGAAAGAAGAGAGGGAGGGATATAAAGGGGGAAAGAAGGGAAGAACCAAATGGTCTTGACAATGTATTTAAATCTAACTTCCTTATTCATATTTCAGCAGCTTGGTTCTTCCATAAAAATTAGTAGTAAGAGATTCAAAAAAACAGGTTAACCTGCAGATAGCATATTCCTAACTAGCTCAATATTTTGGCTGATCCTTGCCTTACCTGTTGAGCAATATGAGAAATATGCGCTCCCTGAACTGGCTGAGGTGCAGTCTCTGAAGAGTTACTCTTGTGGGAATCTTCCATAATCGACTATAAGGGGAAAAAAAGTCAGTTAAAATAAAAAAGTACTGCAGAATATTTATCATATACTATACAATCATGTAAAACTTGATCATTTAGCTGCCTCGATGGAAGGGAACTGATGGCTAATGGTTTAGAGATAACAGAGATTTTTTTAGCTACGCATAGTGGTTATACATCTGTACTTGCTGCAGTCAGGAGGGTGAGGCAGGAGGACTCTGTGTTTGAGGCTAGCCTGGGCTACAAAGCAAGACCCTGTCTCAAAAAAGAGCCAGGCACAGTGGCTCACATCTGTAACCCCAGACACTTTGCAGAGATGGGAGAATCGAGGTTCAAGAGACCCCATTTCAACCAATAAGCTGGTTGTGGTAGCATGCCTGTGCCTACCATCCCAGCTAAGCAGGAGGCTGTAGGTAGGAAGATGATGGTTTGAGGTAGGCCCTTGGCAAAAAACAAGAGACCCTACCTAAAAAGAAACTAAAGCAAAAAAGGGTTGGGGGTATGGCAAATGATAGTGTCTGCCTAGCAAGGGTGAGGCCCTGAATTCAAACTCCACTACTGCCAAAAAAAAAAGAGGGGGAGAGAAACTATTCCTTGCATATTCTTTTCAGTTCTGATACACATGAGAACATGCTTAGTAGATAGCAGATAATGTACATAAGTTACTGTGACTAAATTTTCAAATGATATCCCATTCGAGAAGTATAACAGTGTTCCTGTTCAGGGGCACATGTATTTTTTTCTCTGGTCTAGGAAGAGTTTCTAATTGCACATGTAGTTTCATATACAGAATTTACTGAGTAAAAATTGAACAACAAATAAGCAAAATTATAACTAAGTGGTTCTAAAACCTAGATGATCTAAATAACCAACTGTAGTATATGTAGGCTGGGTAAGAATGAGAGTAAGTTATAAGAGATCGAATATATAAAATGGGAGGAGCGCCACTAACAAAAAAAAAATGATAAAAGGTTTGGGTAGAATTTAAAGTTTTTAGATTAAATGCAAAGACATAAAAAGAAAAAGCTGGTTAGCAGGCATATGAAAAGATGTTCAACATCTTCATTAAGGAAATGAAAATCAAAATGACAATAAGAAGGGTTCAAGTGGTAGAGCGCCTGCCTAGCAAGTGGGAGGCCCTGAGTTCAAACCCCAGTACTGCCAAAAAAGGAAAAATGACAATGTCACCTCATACTTACTGAAATAGCTAATACCAAAACAAGTAATAAAAACTGTTGGCAAGGATGTGGAGAAATCAGAACCCTTGTGCACTACTGTGGTGGTAGGAACGTAAAATGCGATTGCTAGAAAAAATTATGGCAGCCAGACACCAGTGGGTCATGCCTGCAATTCTAGCTACTTGGGAGGCTGAAATAGGGAGGATCATGGTTTGAGGTCAGTCTGGTTTGGGAGACCCTATCTCCAAAATAATCAGAGGAAAATGGACTGGAGGTGTGGTTCAAGTGGTAGAGTGACTACTCTGTACTTATCTGCTTTCTAAGTGCAAAGCCCAGTGCCATAAAAAAATAAATAAATAAAAAGAAAAAAAGCATGGCAATTCCTCAAAAAATTTAAAGCAGAATTACCAAATGATCCAGCAATTTCCCTCCGGACTTGAAGAGATATCTGTATGTGCATTTTCATAGCGGCATTATTCATAATATCCAAAAGGTAGAAGCATCCCAGTATCCACCAACAGATGGATATTCCAAAATGTGGACTACTACTTATCCTTAAAAAACAAGGGAATTCTGACACATGGATCAACCTTGAGCACATTATGCTAAGCAAAATTTTAAAAAAGACAAAAAACAGACATTGTATTCTTTTTCTTTATATGAAATATCTAGAGTAGTCAAACTAGCAGAAACAAAAAGATGATAGTTGCTAGGCATGAGGAAGGAAATATAGTTCCTTAATGAGCATGAAAAAGTTCTGGAGATTAACTATATAACAATTTCAATACATTTAACATTACTGAACTGTACATTTAAAAATGGTCAAGGGCTAGAGGTGTGACTCAAGTGATAGAGCACCTGCCTAGGAGCCATGAATTCAAACCCCAGAACTGCAAAAAAAAAACCAAAACAAACAAACAAACAAAAAAACCTGAGAGCTAATGGCTCACATCTGCAATCTTACCTATTTCAGGAGACAGAAAACAGGAGGATCATGGTTTGAAGCCAGCCTTGAACAAATAGCTAGTGAGACCCTATCTTGAAAAAACCTATCACAAAAAGGGCTGGCAGAGTGGTTCAACACCTGTCTAGCAAGCATGAGGCCCTGAGTTCAAACCTAAGTGCCACAATAAAAACAAAAAGGTTAAGCTGGGGCTGAGGATTTTGCTCAAGTGGCAAAGTGCTTACCTAACATGCAAAAAGCTCTGGGTTTAATCCTCAGCATCAAAAAAAAAAAAAAAAAAGGCAATTTTATGTTATGTGTATTTTATACAATTAGAATTTTTAGAGTCCAGCATGGTGGCACACACCTGTAACCCCAGGTACTCAGGAGGCAGAGAAAGAAGGATCCTGAATTTGAATTTGAACCCAGACCAGGCAAAATTAGTGAGACCCTATCTCAGAAACAAAAACAAAAATACCAAAAGGGCTGAAAACATGACTCAAGAGGTAGAGCATTTGCCTAGCAAATGAGGGGCCCTGAGTTCAATCCCTGGAACCACAAATATAATAAACAGTTTAAAGAGAGAGGGCAACTAGGTGATGCATCTTAGCCTCACTGACATAACTGTTAACTATAAATACATGTTCTTTCTTCTTTTTGTTTTGAAACCATAAAACAAATTCATTTTGCCAGACATGGGAGTACCCACCTGTAATCCCAGCTACCTGAAAGGCAGAGGCAGGAAGATCAAGAGTTCAAAAGTGCCAGGTGCTGGTGGCTCACCCCTGTAATCCTAGCTCCTCAGGAGGATTGAGGTTCAAAGCTAGCCCGGGGAAACAGTTTAAGACCAGTTTAAGACCCTATCTTGAAAAAATCCATCACAAAAAGGGGTTGATGGAATGACTCAAGGTGTAGGCATTGAGTTCAAGCTCCAGTACCACAAAAAAAAAAAAAAAAAAGTTCAAGGCCACAGCCTAGCACCCCTGGCTCACGCCTGTTATCCTCACTACTTAAGAGGCTGAAATTGGATCTTGGTTCCCCCTCTTAAATATGTCACCTGCTTCTTTTTCTAACATGAAAACATATTACAGACAGAAAAAAGGCTGAGAAATCTTAATCACAGTACTGTCTGAGTTCTTTTCAGTCTTCTGAAAGGATAGCCTATTTTCTATTATTTTATAATTGAAGAATTAATTAAATCAAGCTTTTCTCCAAAAATTAAAGAGCTTTATGGTTTCATCTCATCATAAACAACAAATAGTACACACTCTGTTCTACTGAAATTACCAGAGTATAACCTTTATTTGCTTCACTTTTTCTTAACTATTATTCTTCGTATTGAGTTAAAATTAACAATCTGGCTAGGTGCGGTGGCTCAAACCTGTAATCCTAGTTATTATGGAGGCAGAGGCTCGTGGCTGGAGGCCAGCCTGGGTAAAAAGTTTGCAAGACCCTATCTCAACCAATGGCTGGTTGAGGTGGTGCCTTTCATCCCCAGCTACACCAGGAAGCACAATGAGGAGACTCATGGAGCATGCTGGCCCAGGAATAAAGCAAGACTCTATCTCAAAAATAACCAATTCAAAAGGGCTGGCAGTGTGGCTCAAATGGTAGTGTGCCTGCCTAACAAATGAGAAGTTCTGAGTTCTAACTCCACTGCTACTCCCAAAAGTTAACAATCTGTTTAAAAAACAAACAAACAAACAAAAAACCCCAAACTTGTTTAGCACAGAATAAATTTTATGTGTGTAATCCATTTTCTATGAAAAATAAAGCTCCAAGCAGCAGCTATAGGCTTACCATGTGATAACCCCAAGTAGAGCAACATCACAAGAGGGCAGTGAAACTTGGCTTCAAAAGCACCATCAGGCTGGGAATGTGGCTCAAGTGTAGAGTGCTGTTGCACAGCAAATGCAAGGCCAACTCCAGTACCAGTACCAGTACACCACCACCACCACCACCACCACCACCACCAAAAAAAAAAGCACCTTCAATAGGAATGATCTGAAAGGCAAGGCACTCTCAATAAAATTTGCAAAGAGAAGTCCATCATGCTGGGCACTGGGAGGCAGTGATCAGGAGGATGGAGCCAGCCCCAGATTCAAGACCCTTTCAAACAAACAAAACCCATCACACAAAAGGGCTGGTGGAGTCCTTCAAATGCCTATCAAGCGCCCTGAGTTCAAACCCCAGTACCGCTAAGAAAGTACATCATAACCTAGGCAACAGATTTTTTTTTTTTTTTTTTTTTTTTGTGGTGGTGCTAGGGATCCAACCCAGGCCTTTGCCAACGGCTCCTCTGAGCTACAATACTCCCAAGTTCTCTAAGAGCTTTTTAATATGTTTTCTCCTGGATTCCCTTTTCCCTACTTTTCAGATGTGTAAATCAAGGCCTACAGAAATCTTCATTTACTATGGATCTCACAGTAAGATGTGAAAGACCTGAAGCTAGACCTGTTTTAATAGAAAGTCCTTGATGTCATACTACATATTGCCTCTCTTCCTGGAATATCCTCACATTACCTTCTTTAATATTTTCACTAAGTCTTGCATATATTTCTAACGAGATTACTTAACACTGAAATGTGTTTATTGGCATGTCTGTTTCCCCATTCCAAGTCCCCAACAACAAGGCCTGTATCATATGACTGTGTCCTGTGGTCAACAGAGACCTACTATGGTCAACAGTAATCATCAAATACAGTATTCTTAATCGTTGAATAGAGGAGTCTAAGTTTCCTCATTGTAGAGGATGGACTATGGTAAATCTGGGGACATCTCTGTCCCTTGCTCAAAACATTTCCACCAATGAAATCATTATCTCTTTCACATTCGACTTACAACAGCACGGGTTCTCGTTTCATGTTTTGTTTTGTTTGTGATGTTGGGGATTGAACCCAGGCCTTGTGCATGCTAGGCAAGTGCTGTACAACTGAACTACATTCTAACAAACAAACTACATTGTAGAGTAGATTAAAAAATGGCATTTTAGCTGGGCGCCAGTGGCTTACTCCTCTAAATACTAACTACTCAGGAGGCAGAGATCACGAGGATCACGGTTCGAAGCCAGCCCCGGCAAATAGTTCGCGAGACCTTAGTTTAAAAAACGAGTAACAAAAAAGGGATAGTGGGGTGACTCAAGGCGTAGGCCCAGTTTAAAAAATAGCATTTTAGTAAAGTGTCCATCTGTTGGTAACAAAATTGGCGAGATAAAATACACTTTGAGGACATAAACACTGCTCAAACTCTTCTGAAGTGGGGCAGTGTGACCTACAATATATGTAGGCTCCAAGACTAACAGCCCAATGCTTTTCAAAAACTTGCTCCGCGGCGGTGCATCTGAAGCTGAGAAACACCATGCGTCGCTTTACAGTATGTGAGAAAACAAAGCACTGATCCGGTCCGAGTAAAGCTTCCTCGGCTTCCCTGACGCCGGAGGACTCGGTCGGTCACTTCTGCAGGTGAAAACCCCACCCTGGTTCCCGCTCATCGTCGCACCTCTCCCGCTCCCAGCCTGTTCGGGGTGCGATCCCCGCGCCGTCGGCCTCCCCAGAGACTGTACGCTGCGCGGCTGTGCATGGGTCTGTCCTTCTCCGCGGCTCTCGCGGAGTTCACCGTGCCCGGCCAAGGCCACTCTGCTCGCCCGACCCCAAAAGCTCTGGCCTCCGACCGCCGAGGGGCAACGTCTAGGTTCGAGCCACTCACGGCGGGAGATTTTTCGGCTTTATTTCTATTTGGGGAGGAGAGAAGACCAACCACCAAATGGGAACCGAGCAGCGCAAAGGCGCAAGAACCGGAAGCCCTCTCGCGCCGGAACAGCGGCAAGCGGCAACCCCTCCTCCTTCCGCTGCTCCCCTCCCCCAACGCGGCCATCTGCGCGCGACCCCCACTCAGCGCGCGACAGGCTCGGCGTCGCCGCCAGTGCCGCGCTCCTGCTCCTTCCGCGCTCTGGGCCCCTGGCCCATGTCCTCTCCCCCAACCCCACTCCCCTAACACTTACCTGTGGCTGCCGCCTCGCCAATGTCCGAGGGGAAGTGGGAACTTCCACTCCCCCCCCCAGGTGAATCCGAATTCGCTGTCCTCTTCCCCACCCCCTCACGCGGCGGGGAGCGCGCCTCTTTCTCAGGGGTCAGGCGGGGCAGGGAGATCAGTGTAACTTAACAGCCAACCATCCTAGGCTACCGTTTCTCGGCAGTCAGAACTACCACAAGCGGCATGACCCACACCAGGCCGGGGGCAAGGCGTGGGGGGGATGGTGCAAAACTGAGTGTAAATGTGCGTGGGGGGTGAGGCTGGGCTGGGCTTCCGTGCGGGCCGCCGTGCTGCGTCATCGCGTGTTCACGTGACACGCCGCCATCTTCTCCGGCCTCCTCCCTACGGCGCTCTACTTGGGGGAAGGTGGAAAGTCGTCTGGGTTGTTTCTTCTGTCCCTCTCTGCTCACCTTTCCCGAACGTTTGTCTCCCGACACCCGCACCAGCTGGGTGCTCTCCGCAGGCCTTTTGGTGTGGGGCAGGTTTTCCTGGTGTCGTTCTCAGCTCAGCTGCGGCTCCTGGCTTTTGACAGACGCCTGCCCCATCGCTTCTAGAGAAGGGATTTGAAGCATGGGGCACGCCTTCCTCAGCTTCCCCTAGCTCGTCCACGTGGTTCGTAGTCCTGTCAGGTACCCGTGGGAAAGGATTTTTTAAGTGCTGGGGATGGAACCCAGAACCTCCCACGAGAGCGCTGTACCGCTGAGCCACACCCTCAGCTGAAAGGCTTTTCTGCAGATTGACTTAAAATTAGGTGCGGTAGGGCGGGGGCACGCTACGGCCCAGACCTCTTCCTCCAACTCGGAAGTACTGAGAAAAAGGGGGCGTGGTGGGGCACGACTGCAGTCCCAGAAGGCTGAGGCAGGAGCGTCGACGAGGTCAAGGCTAGCCTGGAGGGCTATCAGGCAAGGGAGACCCAGTCTCCCCGCCCCCCGAAAAAAAAAAAGTATTTAGGAAAAAGTTACAAGGTATTGTAAAATAAAATGGCATGCCGTAATCTTAATATGTTAAAAAACTTTAAAAATAATGTGTATCTACCTTTCTGAAAAAGGAATTTTATTCTCATTTTTAAAAATCCGTTTTTGTGCAAAGTGTTCTTTTATGGCTTTTTAGTGATAGTATACGACAAATGGTCATTTTTGCTCTTGACAAAATAAGTTCCAAAGATTTTGTGACATTGCACTTGAGATCCCCAACTAGGAAGCTGATATAGTGGAAAAGATGTGGTTAAGGCTAAAGCCTTACAGGCTCCCTCAAGAGTTCACCGACATTTAGCCAGTGTCATTCATTTCGCAAACTTTGTACCCTACCTATTAAAAGCTAAACCGGATGAGGACTCTTAGAAGTGCTGAATTTTTTATTATTAGGAAAATTACTCAACTCTCTTGAGTTTTGTCTTCTCAGTATAAAAATGGGAGGTGTCATACAAATGTGAGGTGTTATTGAAGGAGTCAAAATGTAATGTCAAGGGTGGCACAGTGGCTCAAGTGGTAGAGAGCCTGCCTAGCAAGTGTGAGGCCCTGAATTCAAACCCCAGTACCACCAAAAAAAGAAGAGGGTGGGTAAAGGGGGCAACACTGAAAAATCTCACGCAAAAATACAAATTCAAAATATTAAAGAAATGAAACCTCTAAATGTATTTGGACCATTCACCCTTTAGCTCCTTTCCCCGTTGTAAAGCACCTTCAGTGTAAAAGGTTATGGTTTTACAACACTGCAACTCAAATCTGTCTGCCTTCTTAATGAAGTATGTACCTACCACTCTTCGGAATTCTAATAACTAAATGAAGAAAATGAGGTCTTGGTTCTATCTGAATAATAAGTTTTATAAATTTGGTGGACAGATTTTTTTTTTTTTAACTTTAAAAGTGAGGAAATAAAGTGCAATGAAGAAGTCCAATGGTGGGCACCAGTAGCTCACCCCTGTAACCCTAGCTACTCAGGAGGCAGAGATCAGGAGTATCACAGTTTGAAGCCAGGCTGGGCAAATAGTTTGTGAGCCCTTATCTTGAAAAAAACCCAACACACATACATAAAAGGCTGGTGGAATGGCTCAAGTGGTAGAGTGCCTGCCTAGCAATCATGCATGAAGCCTTGAGTTTAAACCCTAGCACCACTGAAGGGGTGAGGGGGGAGAAAGAAAGGAACCTAATGTTAGCATTTGGATATGAGGTATCTCTCAAAAAGGCTCATGTATTGAGGAGTTGATCCTCAGCTGGTGGTGATATTTTGGGAGGTTATAGAAACTTGGAGGGAGGCCTGGTTGGAAGGGGTAGGTCACTGGGGTTGTGTCCTGGTGGGGGTTGTATCTTTTTCAGGGCGCCCCTCTCTGTTTCCTGGCTGCCATGATGTAAACTGGGTTGCTCTCCCTGTCATGATGGACTGAAACCACTGGAACCATGAATTAACAAAGTAAATCCTTCCAAGAGCCCACAGCAATTGCTTTGAAGGAAAAACAAAAACAAAAAACTGGTCAAGCTCCTGGTGGCACCACTATGGCTCTTCTGGCCCACGAAAAAAAAAAAAAAAAAGACATAAAGAAATGAGGCTAAAAGCTGGCAGAGTGCCGCAAGTGTGAAGCCCTGGGTTCAAACCCAATACCACCAAAATAAATAAATAAAAACACAACTGTGGCATAAATTTAAAGGATTGAGCAGAGCTCTGCCCTGCACAGAGTAAGCATTAAATAATTGTTTAATATTAATATGGAAGATACTACTGGAAACTCAGCTAAAAACCACTATGGTGGCTGCATATCCAAAGAAGCCTCATTGGTTCACAAAAGGACTGAGTTGGAGTGTTGGACTATAAACAGTGTCTGGACCAGCCCACCTCTCAAATGACAGAAATTATTGAGATTGAATAGATGTAAAATTTGTAACCTACAAGATAGAACTAATTGCTTTTGGCTTTTTACCTTTCAATACTCAAGTCTAAACATAGAGGAAAACTCAACAGGTCCTAAATCCCTACAGAAATTGTATTGTTGGGGCTTAAAAAATGATACCCAAAGTGAAGGCCTCAAAGCAGCTAAGAAGCAGTTTCTCTCTGCCTCTTACCCTCATTTTCTCAGAAGGCAAGCCACAGAAATTGGAATTCCTCTTAAAAGTGGGTTACAGAAACCAGAGCCCTTTTCCTCAAAGCTAGCCATAAAACCTCAATATATCACCCTAACTTTCCCCCACCTTCTGTGTAAGAATTGGCCATTGCAGTGGGGTCCTGCCTCATACCTGAGAGAAATGCTACAACTGAGGAGTCAAGAAGAATCCAGACAGACAGGTTTTGCTGGTTTCCCCCACCGGTTCTATCTCCATTAGCTCAATATTTTGTGTCAACATGACCGTTTCTGTGTCACTGAACCTAAAAACCATAAAAATGGATAGCTCACCCTGGGTCTTTAAGTCTTCAATCTTCAGGCTTTTGTGTCACATAAACTATGATCAAATACATTTGTTATGCTTTTCTCTTGTTAATTTGTCTTGTTATTGGGTGTTGGCCATGACCCTTTATGATGGACAGGACAGGGATTCCCTCATTTTCTACCTCTACTGTATAAACTATAACCATATTATTTTAGGTAACACTCATGAAACAGGATTGTTCCAGATAGACTGTTTTCAATCTCATGTTATCTAAGTTTGAATGAAACCCATAATACTAGCCTGTTAGGTCCTTGGAGTGATTATAACTACAGACAGGGCTGTTCATCTAGCTCCCTCCCCGTTTGAGAATCTCCCAATCATCTGTATCTGCCTTCAAAAGACACCTGACCCCAGCTGGGCAATCAGTCTTCCCTATGAAACTTGACTTGGACAAGAATTATTTTCACCTATAGTAAATGGTACTAAAGCTTAGGAGCTTTCAAGTATCTTCTCCCTTCGAACAATGCAGATAAGCTGAGCAAGTGATCAATTCCCTTTCTAGAACCTGCCTTAAACACACTTGATTACCATGGCCTTTAGATTGCATAAGATTCCCTTTGCTTCCTTGTAGTGAATATCTTTTTTTTTTTTTTTTTTTGGTGGCTGGGGGGAGGAGGTAAAAGGGTGTCACCATGTTGCCCAGGCTGGCAACTCAAACTCCTGGGCTCAAGTGCTCCTCCTGCCTCAGCTTTCCAAGTAGCTGCTATATGCTACCATGCCTGGCTTGAGTAGCCCCTTTGTATATGAAGTAGCTTGCTTTGGTTGCTAGGATACACAAGAAATAATTTATGACCTCCCTTTATATTCCCATCACTATCATTTTAGCCCAAGCCATCATTCTTTCTTGCATTGTATAGTCCATTAGCTTCCCAGCTGGTTCAACTAATAGCACCTTATAGTGGATAAGTATTGGTTATGTTAGTTAGTTGGATTGTGTAAGTAAACAAATTACTTACTTTCAAGATTTTTGAGAGGGAGTGGTACAGGGGTTTGAACTCAGCCCCTTTCTAAATAGGTGCTCTACCACTTGAGCCACGCCCTCAACTCTCTTTTAGGGGGTACTGGGATTTTGAACTCAGGACCTCATGTTTGCTAGGCAGGTGCTCTTTGAGCCACTCTGCCAGCCCTGTTTTTGTGTTGGGTATTTTTGAGATAGGGTATTGTGAACTATTGCCTGGACTGACTTTGAACCCTGATCCTCTTGATCTCTGCTTTCTGAGTAGCTAGGATTACAGGTGTGAGCCACCGTTGCCTGGCCCCAGCTCTCTTTTGCTCTAGTTATTTTTTAAGTAGGGTCTCATGTTTTTTGCCTGGAGATGGCCTCAGGTGGTGATCTTACCTATGCCTCCCATGTAGCTGGGGTTACAGGCATGCCCTACCATGGCCAGATATTGGTTGAGATGAGATCTCCCCAACTTTTTGCCCAGGTTGATCTTGAACCATGATTCCTTGCACTTTCCTCCTGAGTAGCTGAGATTTCAGGTGTGCGCCACTGTGTCCAGCCAGTCAAGATTGTTATTACAGAATTGTAGCAAGTCAGCTTGTTTTGTAACTGACAGTCAATTTGCCAGAAAAATCTTTTATGTTGATCAGAGCAGCCTACAATTATCCCACACCTGTGTGAGCTCCCAGGTGTAGTGATCTTGAATTGAGGCTCTGAAAGTCAAATCTTTATTCAGGAAAGGTAAATCTGGTCACAAGAGAACAAATCATTGGCCCTTGTAGTATACAAGAGGGCCAGTGTTGTCCCCTTGCTATCAAATGGCTTAGTCTTCTGGTGCAATATTGGGAGTTCATTGTCGGTCTCCTTCAATGTTTAGTTGAGATTCAGAGACAGCAGTAGTTAATCAGCCTTGGTAGTGGGAGTCCATAGTACTGGGCCCTTGCATAACCTGCATCTCTGCCTCTGCAGCCACCTCTGCTCATGTGCTCATGTGGCAGCTCTGAGGTGATTAATAGCTGGTTTGGGATCAACCAGCCAAGTTATTTTGTGTACTTGGATTTTCAGTGTCTCTTCCTCATGGATGCTGTTAACCACACGCATGGACATGGGGTGAAGAGCTTTGCACTTTGTGTTCTCTCTATAACATCCCTATATCGCCACTCCAGACTTTGGATGCAGTCTTCGGTCTCTTTATCTCTTTCCTTCAAGATACCAGGCCATTTGCCACTGCCCACAAATCCATGTGTAGATTCTTCATATACAGATTCTCACTTGGAGGCACTTCTGTTTTTTGTTTTTTTGGTGGGCCTGGGGTTTGAACTCAGGGTTTCCTGCTTGCAAAGAAATAAAAACTGCCACGCCTCCAGTCCATTTTGCTCTGGTTGTTCATTAATTTTTTTTCTCTAGTTATTTTGGAGATGGGGTCTCATGGAGCTTTTTGCCTAGGCTGGTTTCAAACTGGGATCCTCCTGATCTCTGCTTCCCAAGTAGCTAGGACTACAGGTGTAGAGCCACCAGTGCCTAGGTTGAG